CCGTTGGGTTATTAGAGGAATGCCGAGCCTGGAGATCCACCCTGCTTGACAGACAGCGGGTCTTACAACAACATTCCAGCTCCCAGAACAATAGGGAGAGTGCCAGTCTGGAGAGGAAGGATCTGACAGCAAGACTTGTTTTCACAGGCTTTGGCGCATTACATCAGCGGGGTACACATCCACACAAGACAGCTCAGCGTCTTCTCGGGAACGCCAGCCCTTAATGGCCACCTCGCTTCCCTGCGCTTCTTCCTCAATGATAGGACTGGTGGCGACATTGTCAAAACGGTGTTAGCCTGTATTACAGTGGTAGCTGTGTGTGGCTTGCCGCGAGATTCCCCACGGTTTTCCGCAGGAATTCACCAGTAATCCCTGAGCTGTGGCTGTTGGAGCAGGTCTGGGCATCATGGATTGCTGAAGGCAAGACAGCGCTCATTCCTTTGGAGTGAGAGCTACCAGCCACCAGATACCCAATTTGTGATCAGGGCTCATGGCTGTGTAGGGCGTTACATGATGTGTTTGCACAGATTAAAGTAAATCCAGGTCCGCACACAGGGAGTATTGTATTTGGTTGTTTGGTTAGAAACTGGTTAAATAAACTCCTGCAGGGAAGCGGAAGCCCGCAGCTTGTGTGCACCCCCCCCCCACACACACACACACACACGCGGACACGGCATTCTCATGCTTCATGCTCTGTGTGCTGCCTCCCCTCACACACATTGTTTGCACAGTCACAACAGAGCCCTGCTGTTTTAGAGACAGCCCTCTGAAAACAACCAGAAGTGTCCAGTGCGCCGACAGCAAAATTCTGTTCCTGTGGTACGAGCATCACATGAGCACAGAGTCTGTGTATACCATCCAGTATTCACATAATGCCTCTTGGTCAGGTTATTCACCATCATGGGTCTCCAAGCTATGCTAGAGAACACTCAGATTTAGTCACAGATTATATCAGTTACAGCTACTGCTGTTTGTAATACAGAAAGCCGTTTCCATGAGGCCAAGCTCCCGCATTAGTAGGTGCTGCAGTGTTTGTGCCTGCTGTGTTTTGTGCTTGGTATTGTGTGTGCACCCTTTCTCATATTTTACATTTTCATGGCCATGGTTGATATTTTTCTGCTTAGTTGTTGCATCTTCCTGGTTTATAATCCCATCTGGCCCCTGTTCTTCTGTGTTGTATGGCATGTTTTAGCCCTGGGTTGATTATTTTATCTGCTTTAGAAATAAAAAGAAACCAGTTGCCCCATTGTGAGCGTAGTGTATCGTAGAGAGTGCGGGGTGGGCAGTTCTGTGGGTTTTTATGGTCCCTTTGAAGCAGCAGTTCTTGATGAGCTTAAAGATGCTGTTACATCAGTAACCAGCGGGCTGAAGGCAGGGAAAAAAGAGAGAGATGAGACAAGTTAGAGAATGGACAAAAGAAAAAAACAGCAAAATCCAGAGGAAGCAAAAATGAGAAAGTACACAACTAAAGAACTAAAGAAGAGAATAAAAGAAAGGAGATCACAGACAACAGAAAAGAAGTGAGAAAGTGTAAGAGAGAAGGATGGAGGATGAGAAAGATTAGAAAAAGAAAAATGGGCAGATATGTCAGGGCAGTGGGCACAGGGGGAGCTGGGCTATGACTCATCAGGACCCCAGCGCTAATCACGAACCATCTAAACAAGCACAGCCCTGATGCAGGGTTGAACCCCACTGTTTGCCAGCAGGCACAGCACATTCCAGCCGGGCATTCCCATGGGCATTAGCACTGCATACCCTAGGGGCCCTCAGGGGCACCTGTCTGTTTAGTGAAAGTTGCTCCCCTTGAAGTTGGAGCCAGTGACTGAGCAAACTAATGACCTTTGACCTTGCCTAGAGAAGCAATTTCCTCTCCACAACACTGGGCTTCACTTGAAGCCGAGAGACACTTTGACCTTGTACTTAGAAGTTAGAGACAAGCTTACTGGAGGCTTTCATTTTGAAAAAACAAAAACCCGTCTGCAGTCTAGGTTTCAGTTTTTAAGGTTCGACAGAAAAACAGGCATTGACTTTTTTTTCTAAATTAGATTTACATTTGAGAACAGGTTTAAAGGCAGTTCTGATCCGAGGAACTAGTCTATCCTACTTTAAATCTAATTAAAAATTGAAAGAAACCCTGTAGCCATCACACGCCTACCACATGCCAAATAATGTATCATGTAAATACCGTAATTATGTTGAACTATAAACAGAGAACATGCATCCTGCCACAGTTATAATTTTCAGCAGCACAAGCCTAGGGCATGCCTGAGCACAGTCTTTCTCATGAATCTGATGAAGAAAAACACACAGTGCAAACTCACAGCTTTTAGCACATCTCCCCTTAAATGGTAAGGACTTTTCCGTAATCCGCCCCACCCCAACATTAATAACTCATATTTCCGTCTGAAGGGTGTAATTGTCTTTGATCTCCCTGCAGGTATTTATCTATCAGCGGAGCCTGTCGAGTGAAAGGTGATACTTCAGGTCATGACAACGGATCTGCCAGCCGAGTTCAAACACAGTGGTGCATTAGGATCCAAGAGGGTGCAGACATCAGGTATACAGTACAGGCGCCGGCAGAGTGCATGATTGTGTCCAGAAATGTAGAAGATGGCTCCACAGGAACACCATCCTCTACATTTAGCTCTGGATTATCCTAGACTGATGTTGTGCAGAAATTACCAGCACTGTTGCAATAGATGCCTCTACCTCTACTAGACCGTACATTCAGAGCTGTCCGTTGGCTTAGGCGAACTAGGCCACTACCTGGGGCCCCAAGGCCACCAGGGGGCCCCCTCAATGTGCAACACAACAGATTTGTTTTTATCGACTTGCTCACAAATGTGAACAAAAATTCCCTCCAGTGGCGCTTTCTGTTGCTGATGTGCTAATGTAGGCTGTTAAGGTTTGTTATAAATGATAATATTACTTGCGAAGGTTAGTGTAGTAGTTTATTTCACTGCCAATTTAGTCAATGACTCTCATCTTCGCAGTAAGATGACAATACCAGAAAGCAGTAAATGGTGTGATGATCACTTTCAGATCAATTTTATTAATCATCGAACAAGTAGTGAACTTTTACTTGCGGCGCAAACTACGTTGTAATGGTTTAAAATTAAAATCATGCGCAGTAGCTGCAACCGGTAAACGCAAATTGTCCTCTAAAAGGACGTACTGTACTGTATCTATCGGGCACTGAGGAAAGGAAACGCAGAAAAGAAGAGCAGGATGAGCGATCTCAAAACAGAGGGACGCCAAATCAAATCACAATTGGAATAATGCGCTTGTATTTCATTCGGTTTTGAGTCTGTCAGATTCATGTAACTAGCGAACGATACACAAGCCACATTTTCTAGCCGGACACGCATACTGCTTGAGGTGTTTTATTACAAGTTAACAGATTCACGCTTCACGTTATTGCTTTCGATGTTTAAACGTCATCGAAACGTAAAATGTCTACTTCTTGTTCTTGCTTGTAAGTTATGTATAACGTGTCCTTCAAAGCAGGTTAATAAAAGTTTTCTAGTTATATAATTCATTTATTTAATTGTTATAAATTGTCAAATAAGGTTGGGGTGGGGGCTAGTTGTAGTGTCTGCGTAAATTGTGATCTGGAGCGAATCCACTCCAAGATCTTGCCTTGGTCACCCAAAAACACGGACTGGCCCTGTCTAAAATAGTCAGTGGTCCCGAGAGTAACATGAAAAAGTCTGTTTCGTCGTATCAGTCGATGACTGGCGATGTCCCTCTCGTGTTTTTAAGAGTCATAACTTTCTTCCAGTTCGTCAAATTCCTTTTCAGGAACAAGTAATAGGTTTATTCCATGCTGAAAAAAAGAAGAAAGAAAACAACGTTTCGGCCGTGGAGCCTTCTTCAGGTGTGTGAAGACACCTGAAGAAGGCTCCACGGCCGAAACGTTGTTTTCTTTCTTCTTTTTTTCAGCATGGAATAAACCCATTGCTTGTTCCTTTGCAGCCTACGCATGTTGACGCAGCTGCCCACCTGAACTAAATTCCTCTTCAGACGATGTAAGGGCCGTTTCCAATAATACGTCACGCTCGTTTTCTTTTAGCACCGAGGAACAGCGGCCACCTGCCGACAGGTCGCGCTTTCCGTAGCGCCTGAAAGTGTACGTGCAGGCTAAAGCGCAGTCATGCAATATATATATATAGTAAAACTACAGCGTATACACACAATACGTTATATCTGCTTCCTCGGATCTGGGGATTTGCGAGCCTATGTAGCGCCTAAGACTGGTCACACAATATAAGCTCTTTACTGACCCCTAGTGGAGACACGTTTATGACATATACAAATATTGTGGTTTGTCCCGTGCCAGTAAAATGACTTGGTCTCGTGTTGCAGTATCTTGTGTTTTGTGTGTGCTGTGATGTTACTAGGGGACGTACAGCGAGCTACTATGGTTAATTAAAGGGAGAAACACTTACACCTGGATAATGCAAGGTACAAAGGAAGACAACAGCGCTCTCATTTAAGGCTTTGATCTATCAGTATGAAGACGAAGATTTTTTAACTACCATGATCTCGTGTTTAAAACTCTTGATCTTTTGTCAGTTAAAATAGTTATGTATAACGTCGTCCTCAATATTGTCCAGCAGCCATATCACCCTGCAACTCACAACTGGCAACCCACTGAAGCTAAGCAGGTGTGAGCCTGGTCAGTACCTGGATGAGAGAGCTCCTGGGAAAAACTAAGGTTGCTGCTGGAAGAGGTGTTAGTGAGGCCAGCAGGGGGCGCTCACCCTGCGGTCCATGTGGGTCCTAATGCCCCAGTATAGTGACGGGGACATTGTGCCGTCCTTCGAGGTCCTGACTCTGTGTGGTCATTAAAAATCCCAGGGTGTTTCTCGAAAAGAGTAGGGGTGTAGTCCCGGCATCCTGGCCAAATTTCCCGTGCCTCCTGATAATCCCTCTCTATGAATTGGCTACATTACTTTGTTCTCATTCCGATGGAGCGACGCGCCGGTTGGAGTATTCTCGGTCGCAGTTTAAAGGCAACGTCAGCTCAAAGATTTGGTTCAAACCGACAAATGGAGACCGGGCCCTGCTGATGCCCGCTAGGAGAGAGAGAGGACGTCGTCCTCAATATTCGATTTTTCGAATGTTGCTGCTTTCTGTTAATTACTCCCCCATAACGTGCATATTACGTTAGTCATCCCCAACATGTGTGGGGATCGCGCATTTCAGTTTGCCAACAATCACAGGTAGTACAGCAAACTGGGAATCACACACTAGCTCGGAAACTCCCGAGAAAATCCGGAGAATCTCGAAGAAACTCCCCTTTCGGATCCGAAGGCGACTGTAACATAAACCCGGGAATTAGTCTTGCCTCGCGTGTCAATCGCACCATATTAGCCTCATTAAAATGGGGGATGGTTTCTTTATTCTCCTGTGAAGCACGAGGTGCGCGTTTTTTTCACATTTCTGTTCTGTTCTTATACGGTTAAGTCAATGTTTACTTCGGTCTTCCTCCCGCCAGTGGGAGACAGCGATTCTTCTGAGACGCGTATTTTCATTTTCGTAGCCGGGCCGCCCTCCTCCTCCTACCCCTCTGCGTCACCGCACCGCCGGGCTTGGATCCGACTGGTCGGGTTTGAATATTCAGAGTGGGCGTCTACCCTTTGCTTGTCGCTGGCTTCTGTCGCCTCCCGTGACCGTGGGCTTGCCGGGCTGCTGTCGAGCCGCACCGAGTCTCCACGATCGGGTGATTGTCGGCGAGGGCGGCGTCAGAATTGCCATTACCGGCTGCTTCTAGAGTGGTACCGCGCAAACACGCACATCGGCACCATCCTCTGTAAAACAGCATCATTTTGGTTGCGCTATCAAGGCGCCGTGTGGGTTATCGCTGCAGAGAGCACCCTTTCCTCTTCTGAATCTCTGCCCCCCCACCAACTATCGGCAATCCGGCCTCTCGGTCTGACTTTGCTTGTTACACGGCTGACACCAAATTTGCCAACAAAAAAGGGTAAAAGGTAGCCAAAATGGAGACGGAGATACACGTGCCGGTCGGCTCGCCGGTGATAAGGAAAGTGCCCATTTGTGTGGACGAGCACGACGTAACAGCTGGCGCACTGAAATTGATACAAGAGCTGCGACCGGCTTGGGACATCGATCGCGTCAGGACGAAGGTGAGTAGGAGGTTCACATCCTTAACACGGTCTCCCTTTAATCCGACAGAGCCTTCTCGGTTTTCTTTCTTTTCCAACACAATATTAATGCCGCTCCAGGAAACCGAGAGCATTCTTTTTTTTATTTAAAAGGTGCCATTTTCCTCCTCTTTTGCCTAAAAACAGCAATGTCACGAACTAAACAACGTCTGTCTTCAGACACCTCGTCATCAACTGCAAGTCAGTTGCTGTCCATATTTAACGGATTACTCGTCATTTCAGTGAAGATAACACCGTTTACAAATAAAATGTAAATGCTACAAGGAAAGGATGCAACGTATTGGAGATCCAAAGCAATTTCTTTTAGCTAAGAGCGTGTTTCACAATCCAGGAGTTGATTTGTATTTTATTTGAATACGGCCCTGATGGCGATAATTCTGTTTTAATTTGTAAATTAAACATATCCATGCATTATCAGGTGCAGTTGCTGGGTTTTGTGTGTTCATTAAATATGCTTTTGCGACAGGCCTTTATCCGTTTCACAGATTACTGTATTGTTAAACAGTGACGGATGCGTGTACTCAGTCGCCAGACCAAGTTTAGTGTCGCACCTGCAAACTAGCCACAGCCCGGCGCCGAGCACTGAGCAGCCACAACTGAAAGTGACAGCCGCTCTTAAAGGGCCAGACCCCTCTTCTCCCAATCTGGAGTCCGCCTAGGCTCGCCACAACAATCAAAGCCAGGTTGTGGTTATTCACGGTAGATATTCAGCTCTTTTAATCGTTTCCAGGCGTACCGTGCTGACTCGTGTCTTTCAAAGAGCGAATTGTTTCCTTTAAAATCGTGTTAAACGTCTGGAGTTCCCCTATGTTTTTAACTGTTAAAACAACGGTTTCTTGCTGTGGTCCTGGGAAGTTTCTTTCTTTACATATTTAATTTATTTAGCAATTTAGTTAAAATCCTAGCTAAGGATCAGGACAGTTTTTGTTTAACGTTTCTGTAAAGTATAGTAGTTACTCGGTTTTACTCCAACGTTTCAGTGCATTTCTGTAGACGTTAGGGAGTAGAACAATTTTGCTGCTGAAACTGATTTCTAATTATTTCGATTTTTCACACAAATGAACACTTAGTTACACATATTATGAACATGCGTATTAAAAACTAAATATATTTTCTTTGAATGTCTTCGGCCTACTTAAAAAGATTAACAAAACAATGCAGATAAACACAAAAACAAACATACAGTTCGCAATACGAGGTCAACTCTAAAATCTCCGTAAGAAATCCACCTGACCATATGAATGAAATGGTGGTCTGTGATCTTTGGATTGCAGTGATGGTGTGCTGGTTGCCTTGGTGACTGAGAGCTCCAGTCATGACTCACTGTGGACGGTGCGCTGTATCTTACAGACAGAATGACTTTGACCATCCATAGTACTGGAGCCTCTTTGCGCTCTAATGACACAAGTCTGGAGAGGCCGACTAAACTGTTGCCCCCTGGGAAATTTCTTTGACTAGTCGTGTAGACCACGTCGTTTTATAATTGGGGTGACTCAGTGTAAGCCTTATGTTGTAAGAGACTCAGAAAGCTTGGCCGGGATATTGTGATTAAAAACCCTGAAGAACAAAGTCCATTACAAGCACAAACAGAGACAGTAGGACAGTACTCGTATGATTTTAATGAAGTAAAAACTCGTTGGTCTTGCAGTATATCGTTTTGGGCATCTTGTTCGTTGACTATCAGTTTTTGTGTTTTCTCTCTGTTTTCAAACTCAGAGTATAGTAGGCTGGTAGACTCAATTTTCTTCTTTTATCCGAATTGTTATCCTTTGTGCTGCATCTCTCTTTTCCAGCTTCGCTGGTTGACTAGATTACAGTTGGGGATCTCAATGTTAATGGTCACTTTCCTATGTGCTTATCTTTTCAATGGTGTTCTTTGCTGCGATACCTCATCTTTATCATTATTTATTTGACTGAAACGTATGACCTTAACCAAAGTGTCTCATGAAGCTACAGTGTCATGATATACAAGGTGAGTCCTGCCGCCTTGAACTGTATCTTTTGGGTCTTGGGTTTGATTCTGGACTGCGGCACCCTTTGTGTGGAGTTTGCATGCTCTCTTTGTGTTCCCTGTGGGCTTGGCCAGGTGATCTGGTTTCCTGCCACTTCCTGAAGTCGTGATGGCTGGGTTAATGTGTGTCTCAGCTGTTGCTTTGTGCTTGTGTGGGCTGTGCTGGATAGATAGCCCAGCACAGGGTATATTCCCTACTTTGTGGCCTCTCCTTCTGGGATAGCCTCTGGGTTGCCAAGATCCTTATCGGGTATTAAACTGTTTTCTGTTAATGGCTGAATGATAGAAAATAAACATTATATGTTCACAGGTAACTGATTACCAGAAAGTTGTGGAGTGCAGTGAGGACCAGAGAGACATAACAAACTGCAGGATGCAGCAGAAATGTAATGCAATTAGTTACTGATCTGCAGGCACTTATGTAAGTTATTACCTTTGGAACATCTGTTTCCTGGAGTATTAAGACACACTGAACTGGAGCATGGCTGGTCATTAAAATTCAACCATTCTCGGCAAGGCAGAGGAATCAGGGACACCGTTTATATAGCAAGGGTTTAATTCTGGATTTTCACATACATCTACTATGTACCATAGGGCAGCAGTGAGGAGCAATGCTCAGGGTTCTGGACTCATAACTGAGAGGCTGTGGGGTCATATGACAGGTGAGACACTCCTGTTGTACCCGTAAGCAAGGTGCTTTGCATTAATTGCTCTAGTGTAATTTCCAGCTCTATGAATTTGTGCAAATGTAAGTCACTTAGGATAAAGACACCCGATTATATAAATTAGTAAGTCGGTAATAAGTTTACATATAAATCTGTACACATATGCTGTTTGTTCATTAATTTGGCTGTCCCTTGCCATCAAGCATCTAGAAGATTAATTATCTGGCAGATAAAGCGGGTTTTGTCTCTGGGGACATCTGAACCTAATCTGAGCAGTCTCAGTTTACTTCCTCATTCTGACACCTTTGGACCTGGGATCTTTCCCAGATATTGTTTCTCCATCTAGTTCGGTCATGAGGCATGATCTCAGAGGAGCTGATAACAGTGTTGTTTTTCTTCTGTCTTGTCTTAGAAATGGTTCTTTGCTCCTCTGGTGTGGTTGACTTGGTAGACTGGGAGAAGAAGAGAACTGTCTTTTGTAAGCCTGGGCCCTGACATCTGGTCAGTGTCTGCTGCATGTTGTACTGTACTTGTTTCAGCCCCTTGCAGTAAAGCAGGAATGCTGTCTGCATTGTAGACTCCCAGTGTTGTTTCAGGTTTAATGTTGAGATCTTCAATCACCAACTTGTTCTGATGGCCAAATGCTGCACTTGCTGGTTTTAGGTCATGCTGGATTTGTGTCTCAGTATGAGGGTCTTCTGTGAAGGGTAACTCCCCTGTTATTGGAAGTGCTTAACACTCTCCAAGCACTTATTGTGACTCTGATTTGATGGTGCTGTGTCATGTGCACCTGGGGTTTCTGGTGGAGGATGTTGGGCTTCTGAATGTTCAGTTTAGGTTCCATCTTACCGTATGACTCAGTTACAATGCGGACAGCCGTTCCTGTCAAGGTGTATACTGTGCCATTGTCAGGAGGTTTTGCTGATGATCAGTAGCAGAGTTCAATGACTGAAGTTAGTTTTGGACCAGATTTTTTTTTGGACAATAAGAAAATATATTGTCTGTTCAGTAAGTTAGCTACATTCCAAGAGGGAGTTGGTAGGTGGCGACATATTACTTCAATAGTGTTGTCAAGTGAAAAGACGTCTGTAGATAGCTAAAAAACACAATTCATTTGAAATACATACTGTCAGTGTTACTGGACTTATAGCTGTCTGTACAGCCACTGTAATGTTTGTGCTTCTGGTAGGACAGTATGTCCATATAAAGAATGTCAGGAATGTTACTGTAGGCGCAGCTCAGAGTATGTTGTGCGTGGCAGTTAGATCAATAGAGTAACAGTGGTGGGGAAATGAAGAATACTAGTTTTTGTGTTTTGGCTTAGTCATATTGTTACTGTTTTTTAAAGCCTCTGCAGTAAATATATTTTAAAAACCTGTCAGAGCTGTAACATGCATATTTAGGAGTAAAATACAAAGATGCTTTCAGATGTAGCCTATGGCTGCTTTGTAAAAGACAGGGAGAGGATGGAGAGGGACATAAGAAGGGCTCCTCTGGTCTGTAGCCAGAGTTTGGGCCTAGACCACCTGATTGGGTAACCTGTTCCACAAACTCACAGCTCTGTGTAAAAAGTCATTTGCTATGTATTTATATTCTAGTGCATTATAGAGCTTAAGCGTAACTTCCTTTGATTTAATTTCCACACTTTTTGCTATATATCTGAGCATACTGTTTCTTTTTTTTTATTGCTTCCACACATTGTATTAGTGAGGATATAGAAAAGTCAACATCCAGATCCCTTTCCTGCAGCTCAGAGTCACCCACATGATAGTGTGAGTCCTACTTCCTGTGTGGATTACTTTGCACATATAAATGCAAACTTTAATTTGTCACATGACTGCCCGCTCCATGATTTTGTTGATGTCATTTTGCCATTCCCTAATGCGGGGGGGTGGTCAATACAGACACACCAATTTTATATCATTTGCAAATGTCATTAATTTTGTAAATATACCAGGATCTAATAATAAATATAGATCAGGAAGAGCAATGGACCTAAAGCAGACACTTGCTGTACTCCGCTGCTTACTTGCCCACAGTTAGAGTTCATGCATCATGTCCCTGGAGATGTTTCCTGTTCCTAATCGGGTGTATACATTACCGTAGATTCCTATGGCTTTTAACTTGAGAATTTGCTTCTGTTAATCTAAATTTTAGTGTTGTAAGCTTTCTTGGTTGTTTGTTTAATCAAGTTAATCAAGGCCTGCCCTTTCAAGCACCGTGTTCTAGTTAAGCTCCATCATTTCCATAATATTTCCAGTGACAGACGTTAAACTGATTGTTCTGCAGTTCCTTTCTTTTTATAAATTCATATAAATCCTCCCTTTAATTAACTGGTAAAATGTCCTTCCTAGTGTCTATGCACAACTTTCCTTGTTTATTTAAGATATTGAAACTCTTTTTCCTGAATGTCAGAGAATCTGCTCTGCCGGTGTTGTTGGTGGTGTTGGTTTACAGTAGTGTTGGTTTACACAGCCTGATTACTGAAGCTGATTAAGTAGAGTGGTATTCAGCCGGGCTTTTCATGAGAAGGTTCTCTGTGCTTTTTTGGACCTAAGAAATTGATCCAGGATAAGTAGGAGTGAGTCTATAAGTGCCCTTCCTGCTTGACTCCGCCCCTCTCCCTCTGTCTCCGCCCCCTCCTCCAGCTCTTCACTGATGGCATCACCAACAAGCTTGTTGGCTGCTATGTGGAGGAGTGCCCCGAAGACGTGGTGCTGGTCCGGGTGTACGGCAACAAGACGGAGCTTCTGGTGGACCGGGACAATGAGCTGAAGAGCTTCCAGGTGCTGCACGCAAACGGCTGCGCCCCCCACCTGTACTGCACCTTCCAGAATGGGCTGTGTTATGAGTTCATGCAGGGAGACGCGCTGGGGCCCCAGGATGTCCGGGACCCCAAGCTTTTCAGGTACTCCTCTACAAGACGAGCCGGTGGTCCCTACAGGTTGACGGGGAGCTGGGGTGCCTCTGGGTGAAGACACTCGGCATATTGCCATGGATTGTAAATGTAACCTCAAATGATTTTCTGGAAGGGACTATACTGGATTGAAAATACTCCTCCTGTATAGCAATTTAAAAATTGTATTTTCTGTAGAAACTCATAGGGAGAATTTTGAGATTTTTTTGTCCCTTAATGGACACTGAAAGAGGAAATGTTCGGTGCATTGTTAGCTTCACACAGGGAATCCACCTTGTGAAACAGGGAAAAAACAGGAAAGAGCAAGGTTATTTTTTATATGAGGGGGCTTCCTGTCTTAGGACTTTACCTCCCATGTTATAAGAAATAAATACTATTTACATCACCTGTTGTTTAAAAACAGATGCAAGGGCCCATCACAGATGAGGGCAGCATTCCGGAAATGTGACATATCGGGAGACTTTGTCCTGACTAGTAGAAGCAAATTGCTACCAAAGAAGTTTGGCTAAAGACCAGCTGTCCTTTAACTGAATTCCAGATTTCCAGATTCTTGAAGTTATTAATTTTGCCTGGTTAAATTTGGGTCAGGAGGTCCCCCTAAGAAAATCGGGTCTGCAGACAGGCTGCCCAGCTTTTTTCTCAGAACAGCCTGGCATTCTTACAGCAGGAAAATGCCTGCCTGCTTAATATTATGATGTCTTGTCAAATGACTATATATGTAATTCGATTACGCTTTAAATGTAGGTCATCTTCTATATTTTAAGGTGCAGGTACAGATGCACCCCGTCACTTCTGCAACTTCCTTAGCTCACAGTGTCATCACCCACATCTGAAATGTGGACAGTGTAAACTCTGCCACAGCAGGTGTCAGGTCTTTTGGGTCATCTCGTGTGGCAGAGTTAGCCACTGTTTAGGGAATGGAGCTGTGTGTGCCTGAATCTCAGCATGAGCGGGGAGACCCACACTTATCACACAGGCTTAGGGCACCATTAGTGGTAAGATAAGACAAAGGATGAACCCTTTAAGATCTCACCAAGTGTAAAAGTAGAGATGAATTAATTGTATTTAATGATTTCATTGACCAGGGCAATGATTCTCATCCTAGTTTGTGTGTGTGTTTAGAGTGATGTATTAAGTGCTTCTCCATCTGGCTCTTTCTGTGCCGCAGGCTGATAGCTCGGGAGATGGCCCGAATTCATGCCATCCATGCCCATAATGGCTGTATACCCAAGCCCAACCTCTGGATCAAGCTCCGCAAATATTTCTCCCTTGTGGCCACTGAGTTCACCGACCAGGCCTCTAACACCAGGTAACATTGCAGAATCAGGCTGGACTACAGCCAGTCTAAATACACTTTCTATGCTTCCATTCATAGAATTGTAATGCACAGCTGCGTGGAAGATGTTGGCTAACTGTCGCTTAATTGTAGAGTCCAGCAACCACAGTACCTGCATTTGAAATCAAAACGCGTTTCTCTTGCCTGAAAAGTGAAAAGGAAAAAAGAAATAAACGAATAGAATAGAAATTCCTTGTGAGGTACGCTCTGCTTTTCTGCACAAGTTCCCTTACATAAACTGGTGTGTTTGCAAGGAAATTGGATTCGCAGACATGTGCAGAGAATGAGAGCATATTAGTCTGTGGCTGTATTATGTGTTGCGGCTCCTGCCTATTGGAAGGAGTTGTGCTCATGGGTCTGGCTGTTAGAGGGATTACTGCTCTTTAAGCCCATTAGGATAGGGAAGGCGACAGGACTGATTGGCTCAGCCAGGCCACCTTGCGTTTGGAATGACCCCTGTCTTGTTGCGGTATTTCTTAGTCAGGCCACACGGTAACCTTCTGGAATGCTCTCAATGACGAAAGCTCATAACCTGCTTGTCTGTGACCTTTCCTGTCCTGAGCTCCTGGGTGCTAATTTCCACCAACTCAGGCTTTGAGAAGGGGCAGAATGAATATTTCTGCTGCATGTGTTTGACATCAGTAAGTATATACTGTACATATCCGTTAAGGTCTCTTCCGTTATTAAAATGTCAAACATTCCTTTTGAGCTAACATGCATTCAGGCCGACCAGAAAACACAACAGTTGCAACTACAGCAATGTCCGGTAGCCTGGCCTTGTGCAACGTGCAGGGCCTTATGCAGAGGCTTGTTCAGAAATGTTTGCTGGAAAATGCATGTTGTAAAACTCATTAATTCTGTTATGTTTGAATATTTTGATTTTGAATTAGATTTGTCTTTACACCCAACCAGATAAATACTTTTTATATTTATATGTACAAAAAATACATTCATATATGCTAAATATTGATAAGTGTCGCTAACTCCTTTTCATTTCGGGAAAGAAATGGTGTTGTGCTCTAGATAAATTAGCCCTTTCACAAGCCTCCAAAACAGCTGAAAATGTGAAACTCTGAGAATCCAGGTTATTTTTATTTGGGGCCTGATGTTTTATTTTTTTACTGTTTCTGAAGAATCCAACAGGAAGTGCCTAGTCAGGAAGTCCTGGAGCAGGAAATGACCTGGATGAAGGACCATTTGTCGCAGCTGGGCTCTCCCATAGTGCTTTGCCACAACGACTTGCTGTGTAAAAACATTATCCACAATGTGAAAGAAGGTAAATACTCTACTCTGTTTGTGAACTTAAAAACATGTTCATACTTTCAAATAACGGCTGTAAATCCATATGCGTTCTGACTGAGCAACATGGGTTTCAGGCACATGAATTATAAAGACATTTCTTGTAACAAATTATGTTGGATAGATAATTTTTGATGATCACTAACCATTTCAGTACTATCAGTAATGTGACCAAAAATGGGATTCATTATTTTTGTTGCTAGGTGTGATTAATTTTTTTTTTTGTGTAGAGTCAGACATTAAGGTGGTAAAGTGCCATTAAGCATTTCTTAAACTGCTAAGTATTCTCTCTTGTTCTTGCAGGGCATGTCAGATTTATAGATTATGAGTATGCCAGCTACAATTACCAGGCCTTTGACATTGGGAACCATTTCAATGAGTTTGCAGGTAAGTGGGTATGAGGTTGCTAGGCAAAGGCTAACTGAGGGAGCAACAGGGGAAGGAGGCAGGTGTGCATTCTGGGAAGAGTGCCCAGGGACAGCCAGGGATAGTGGCAGAATCTGTCCTGTCTGTCAGGCGAGACTGAGCTCCATTTCTCAAGGGCCTCTAGTCTGACACAATAGCAACAAGGAGTTGAAAGGCCTCTACTAAATGTAGATTGTTATTTCTGAGGCATGATCGTGTTTGTTTAAAAGTTGTAACTGTTTTTTTCTCTCTCTCTTCTACCTTTTGCATATTTTGTGTTGCCTGTCCGTTTGCTGTTTTGTGGGTTTGTGGGTTGTGTTTGTATGTGATGGGTTGACGTGTTGTTATGTCATGCTTTCTTTGGTGTTTTGCTGTGTGTGTGGGTGCTCCTTGTCTAACCGATGCTTGTGTAACTGATGGTCTGTGTTTGTGCTGTTTGTGTGTGTTTTGCCTATATTGTTTGTGTTGTGTGCTTGTGTGTAACTGATGACTTATGTGTGTGTGCTGTTTCTGTGTGGGTGTCTGATGGCTGCTGTGTGTGTCAGGAGTGAGCGAGGTGGATTACTCGCTGTATCCCAGCAGGGAGCTCCAGCTGCAGTGGCTCCACTCCTACCTGCAGGCCTACAAGCTTTTCACCAAGAAGGCGGAGGAGGTGAGCAGCCGGGAGATAGAGACGCTCTACGTGCAAGTAAATAAGTTTGCTCTGGTGAGTGCATTCAGGCACGAATTTAATATTTCTTTTTTTTTTTATCATTCCAATCCATTGTGGCCCAAAATGATATCAGAGACTCTCCTCGCCTCTTTTAACATAGCCTGCGATGCACATGATTCACTCACCCTAGTCAACATCAGAAAGGCTACAAATGAGGTGGAGGTTGTCCTGCACTGTGCTTTGCTAACAGCAGATGGATTTAAAGCTGTCATGCAGGATCCAGGGGAGCTGGCTTCAAAAACATTGCTTTATCTGGGCTTTTTTTTTTTTGTGCCTACATTCTTTCCACCATTTGGTAGTTAGAAATTAATTGATCCCAGGATCTCATCCAGCCATTTCTTGAAAGAAGCCAGGGTAGTGGCTTCCACACTATGGCTGGGTAGCTTTGAAATAATAGATTTAAAATTTGATTGTTGAAATTTGTTCCCAACAGGTTGTATTCTTTGTATATTTGCATGCATTATTTTTCATATTGGAGAGACATTATTGCTTGAAACATTGACAGCTGGAACAGATGTTTCACGTGGGCCAGTTGCTTTAAATCTTTTAAATCACATATCAGTCACTTGAGGCAGTGAACTTGTTTTCATGATTGAGGCTGTATATATTTGCTGAATGAGATACAGAGAAAGGCAGGTGCCTGCTGTGCTGCTGTCTATAAAACCAAGGTCCTGTGTAAGACATTAATACTGTATCTGTGTCATTTCTCTTGGCAGGCATCTCATTTCTTTTGGGGGTTCTGGGCTCTGATCCAGGCCAAGTATTCCACCATTGACTTTGACTTCCTTGGGTAAGAGAACTTCCCAGAATCAGGATTTATTCAAAACTGAAATGCTAATGCAAGTCTAGAAATAGAATTCCCATTGCATAGGTGTTTTGAGTCGGTTCAGGATTTCTGCACTACTTGACTGATTCTAATCGGATGGCTGGTGTGTGTTTGCTGTGTGTGTTGAAGGGAAGCTGTCACCACGTGGTGGGTATCTCATATGTGGTACAATTTGTTAGATATATTTGCATAGATACTTGTATGCTATAAATGCTCACTAGTCCGATAACTGGTGTTGTAGGGTTTGTTAGCTGGAGGTCTGAGCTCTGTGCCTCCTTGAGCTCTTTGCTTTCAGTTGAAACACCTAGTGTGTGGTGGTGGTGCACTTCACTGCACCGCCTGAGTAACCTCACACTTATAATGGCAGCTGTGATCTCTTGAAAGAGGAGTGGCTTGTGGTAGGCATGGTCAGAGGGGCCTGCCTGCACATCCTCTTTCTCCCTGTGTGCGGTGGCAGGGTCTGTAGCTGCAGGCCGAGACATTAAAGACGCACATGAATGACATTGGCCATTCCAAATGTGGTAGGTATAACAGAAATGATTGGTGATTTGATTTGATTTAAAACAAAAACTAATGGGGATAAAAAACAAAATTCTTCAAATTTATGCATGTAATTGCTCCTAGAAAAAAAATCAGTAGTCCAAAATTTTAACCCAAATGAGCAAGTTCATGTGAATTCCCATAAAATAGTCAACATGTTGTTGCGTGAGTGATGACTGGTAGAGAAATGAGAACCAGGGTAGTCAGTCTGCAGTGATTTTGAAATAGGAGATTTTCCTGACCCTCACATTCTGTTACCCCTTTCTCTGATGGAGCTTAAGGTGGACTTTCTCTCTCTCTCCCCCTGTCTTTGCCTCCCAGCTATGCGGTGCTGCGGTTCACTCAGTACTTCAAGATGAAGCCGGAAGTGATGTCGCTGGGGATTGTGGAGTGATGGGGGTGCAGAACACGCAAGAAGTCTTCACTCACTCTCTCTCCGTCTCTCTCTTCATCGAGACTGAAACTGCAAAACTGAGGCTCCTCTCTATAGGAGAAGAAAGGGCTGGGGGTGGGGGTGGGAATTTGGGGGTAGGATGGCAGATTTACTGTAGAGGATGGAGTTAGGAGAGTGTGCGAAGGGGGGGTATGTGCGATGAGAGGTGGGATCAACTCATTTCCGTTGGATTTGCGATTCCCTTTGAGAAATATGCCCCCCTGTTTCCCTGCGTGGCACTTTGTTAATAAGGCTAATATGTATTTTGTTCTGCTTTCAAAGAGTAGTGTCATTTAGGGTTTATGAGCCCTTTCCCATTGAAAATGGGCTTTGTTGATGGTTGTGACAAAACACAATTCACAGAATGGAACAGGAAGAAACATCTGTCTCTGCTGGCTTGCCCTTGCATGCCTTGCAGGGCCTGATGCAGATGATCCTGCTGAAGGCTGTTATGCTATATATACTGTGGACATGGAACAATTTGGGGTGAATGTGGGATTCAGGGTTGGAACGTTTTATTTTTTGGAATGCTTGTACATTGGCAGGGTTTTGCATTTTTGTTTTTGTGTGTAAAATGGGTATCCAGCAAGTTACAGGTTCAGAATGGATCCTTATTTGTATCCTCAGAAAATCTAAAAGAAACGAGTTGTTGGCAGACATTCTGAGGCTTGTCTTCTTCAGCGCCCTGCCCTGTTTTGGGGTGTTTTGTAGGTTGACGTGATGGAGTATCTAAGCTGAATGATGAGCCTCTAGAATCTGGCTCTGCTCTCTGCCCCCTACTTGAGCTGTCTCTGCATTACCAGTGGGGGCCAGAATCTAGGCAGCTGCTTACTGTAAACGTGACAGTGAGCTGGTACTTTTTGCACTTAAAGCTGTGACACATTCTTTACTGACCTCTGTCTCAAGTCATTCTCATGGTCCAGTCTTTGTCACTGGAAACTTTGGGACGAAATCTATCTTGATTCTGAAACTGTAATAGCAGCAGAAATAATTGTGGCCAGTGTAGTAGTGGTGGTTTTCTAGAGCTCACTCAGTAATGCTTCTTGGTAGATGGCTGCATTCGGTATCTCTTCTGCTTTTGTGTTATTGTCTTTGACCTTACTGACAGGTGGTGGGGCTGAACTGTCATTGTGCACTTGGCACTACCAGCACAGGAACTGGAGCAGCAACAGGAGATGATGCGAGCCAGGTTTCCTGTTGCTGTCACCTTGGCAAATGCTGTACTAAGGGGGGAATAGAGGTGAGGGAGGGGCGTTGGATGAGTTGGATAGATAACTGCGCTAGTGGGCTTTAAGGTATGTGGTCTGCATAGCCTGTGGTTGTTGGAAGGAGAGAGGTGGCGGCCATGTGCACTATACTGCGCAATGCTAGCTGGAAAATTAGAGTACGCTCTGAATGATTTGGAAAGCTTTGTAGAAAGTCTTTAACCTTGAGGTCCTGCGTGAGTGTGTTGTCATTAATCGGTATGGGCAGTGGTTGGCTTACTGAGGTGTGTAAGTTAATGGCTGCATTCCAGTCTCCCCCTCACCCGACCATCCATGCATGAGATTTTTGGTAAAGGTTAAAAAGAAGGTTCTCTGAGGAAGTAGGTTTCAAATTAAAATCTGGCATGGATGGTACAAGTACAGTAGCAAGCGACTGATGAAAAGATGTTGCCTACCCTGTAGAAGAAATAAATTCGTCATTTGCTTTCTTAGAAAAGCTTATCCCAGAGTGGCTTGGAAGATCTGGCCTTTGGAGTTAACGGGGAAGCGTTTTGTCCCACGCTTTCCTTTAGTTGCAGCTGACTGATGAAAGGACTGAATCAACAGCCAGGACCAGATGATTTATCTTTACATGATTTATCACTTGGCCATGCTTCTGTACTCTTCTGGGGAACAAGCAGTGTGGAACAATACACGACAAGGCGGAAAGTGGATAGTTCTGTTTTGTTTTCTGTGGATCAGATCCAGATAAATAGGCACTTGAAATGCCCCACAAACATTTTTCCTTCTTTGATGAGCATAGTGGAGACTTCACAGGCCACACATCATAATTCACTATACAGATTGCCTGTAAACCTGTCAACCCTAGACTTGGAGAACCAAAACCCAGCAGGTTTTTTAGGTCATCCTTACATTGTTAACATAAACATTTTGAAACAGTTTGTTTCTTGGACAAACAAACATGTTATTTGTCCAATTAAGAAGTTTAGTCATCAGCGATGAGTATTGAAAATACCCTACTTTAAAGGTACTATTTCCAAACTCTTCAGCACACAGAACTTTACACAGCCTCTCCCTAACAAACCTGCTCTTATTTCTGACTAAACAGCTTCTTACTAATTGATCAATTAATAATGAACTGACGCTGGTGGGCGTGACACTGTACATGATGCCCACAGTGAGCGTTTTGTCCTTCTGCAGAGGCCCAGTTGGTTACATTCCAGGCAGCACATCTGAATGAGGGCAGGTCTGAAACTCAGAAATGGGTACCAAGTTGATCACAATTACAAATCCCATTGAATCTTTTCAGACCTGAAAGCAAACATGAAAAATATGAGCCTGTGCTTAAGAACTTGACTGGGGCAAAATCCAGTGTTCGTCCAGGACCATGGTTCAGAACCACTGTCTCTAGATCATTAGTAGCCATCTTTACAGCAGCCCTGGTTATCATGAGCAGCAAGGGTTGGTTAATGTTGAGGAGCCACAAGTCAAAACACCTGTTCCTCTGACGTATTTCCTCAGCACTCGTGCCTATTCTCCAGTAGGATCATTAGATGATCTCTTTACATTCCTGGGCATTTTGTACAGCGATAAAACCATAGCACCCTGCAGAGGACAAGGCAGTTCTCCGCTCCTTGGCTAGTAATTTCAGTGGCAGAGTTTCATTGGATACTCTACTGTATTGTTTTAGATGGACTGCTTTGTGTTTGAGGCCAAGATGATGAGCTGTGCTCAACCCTATCTTCTCAGTGCAGAGCACATCATGTACCATTTGGTACTGGAATGTCACCAACACAGAGTCTCTTAGGGGAATGTGAATCTCCAAATAGATTTCATACTGAATGCCTTGAAAACAAAAATGTATTTTGCAGATGAATATCTACTATTCTTATACATACATTAAATATTTTTTCAAGCTACAAGAAAACTGGAGTTCAGTAGAAACAGCTGCCACTGCTTAAATGGATTAAAAACAAATGATGTATTTTCGTGTGCTTTACCTACATTGAAATTTGTGTAAAGTTCTGAACTTTGTACCCTGAAGAATGTTTGCATTGGTGCTTGTGTAATTCACAGATCTGCATATGTTATTTATTTGTTTTTTGCCAACATTCATACTATATTTGATACTTGCAGTGTACAAATTCTCCTTTTCTCAGAGCTTATTTAGTTCCCCCAATCCTGTGTAAAGTTTCCAAACAAAGTACTGTAATAATCATAATTAAAAGAATGTTGTGTATAGAAGACTATGGTCAGGTTTCGTTGTTGTATAAGTAATGAGCATTCATATTATACAAGTTAAAATAATAAATTATAGTAATGTAATTTTATTTTACTATAATATATTATTTATATTTAAAATGTATTATAATCATTTTTAGATTGCTTTTGACTGATTTTATTCCTTTTAAGAGTGTGCTTTTGAGCCTCAGACTGTAGCTTACAGTATCTTAGCTACTGAAATTTAGATTATTAACATCAGGTAGAAAAGAATGTAATTATAAAGACTGACCTTTTTGGAATATGGGTGAGGGCTGCATTTTCAGCTGTTTAATGAGCCATCGCCTCCATAACAGTTAATAATTAACAAGTGTAAGCTGTGAATTATTAATATACCGCAGAGTATTTTTTTTTCTGTGCAGCAGAGGAATGGTGTAGTCCTTTCGAAGACGGGATTGTGAGATGTGCTTTTAAAGGGACAGAACTGGATCTTGTTTTGTTTTTTTCTTCAAAGAGTGGCAGATTTGAACATTGACTTAGTCAAGTGGGACAGTGGGAGAGCTGAGCGATGAGCGAGTCTCCTGTGAATTGCTTTACAAGCAAGTGAGGGTGCCCATCATCTCACCGTGATGGGCACCTTGTCTCTCATCCACTCCGAAGAGCAACCTGGAGTAAATTTGGGCTGTCTCCCCACCCCCACCCCCCACCCCCCCATTTCCAGCCT